GTGGCCTCAAGCTGCACTATTTCTGGCAGTCTGTAAAGGCCCTAAATCCATAAACCAATACCTGTTATTTAGGAATGCATTCCCTTTCCTTCCTTCTAGCCTTTTTAGCACCATCTGACTGGCACTGCTACCACAAGCAAGTTCAGGAGCTGTTTTGTTTTCTTGGGTCCAAAACATGCTTCAGGAATAATCCACTTTAAGACCACTTTAACTCCCCTGGCTCAATGCTAGGGAATTTTAGGGAATGTGGTTTTGTGAGAAGTTTAGCCTCTCTGTCAGAGAGCTTTGGTGCCATAATAAACTACAATTCCCAGGGTTCCCTAACACTGAGCTAAGGCGCATAAACTGGATTATTTCTACAGTGTGCTTTGGATCTCAGTTTTGGTTGGGGAGAATCCCAAGAGTTTGGAAAGAGCAGCTGTTAACAGTTAGCTACTGTTAAACAGTATTTTGATGTTCAGAATATTTTTAAGTGCTCTTTACTTTCCCGTTTCTTAAGTTAACAAAAGTTACTTTTTAAAACTTATTTTTCAGAAATATAAATGCAACAAGAGACTGGCCTTTGGTGCAAATGCATTCTTCTCATTTCCACTTCAGGGATTCATAATCTCACATAACATAACCAGGAAAATAACCAAAAAGTTACACTCATATCACAAAAGGAATGAAGTTATCCCTTGTAACATTTCTATTGCAATGTAACTCATATATATATATATATATATATTCATTGTTGGGGAATGAATTAACTTCAAGTAACTATCCCTAGTCATGTCCAAGCTCTGGGATTTCCGCCCAACACACCCTCTTCTTCCTAAACTCCCCATTATTGTCCTATAAACAATTTGTAAAAACAAATTAAAATTGGCAAGAAGTAAACTATTCAACAGTTTCAAAGAGTTTCCTAAATTTGCTCCATAAGAAACAAAATATCAAAGGTGGAACTGTTCTAAGCTTTTATTTTAGCCCATTTGAGAGTATTATTTGCCACATATGCAACAATGAAGCATTGGGATCTGGTTGCGTTGAAGAGGGGCGGGACAGAAATAATAAATTTTATTATTATTATAAAGGCAAACCGTGGCATAGTGGTTTGAGTGTTGGGCTGTGACTCTGCAGACCAGGGTTCAAATCCCAGCTCGGCCATGTAAACCCACTGAGTGACCCTAGGCAAGCAAGTCACACGCTCTCAGCCTCAGAAGGCAAACTTCCTCTGAACAAATCTTGCCAAGAAACCCCCTTTAGGGCCGCCATACGTCAGAAGTGACTTGAAGGCACACAACACATCAAGCTTAAAACAGACTGAGTCCGTGCTGCAGAAGTAATCCAGGTTGACACCACTTTAACAGCCATGGCTCAATGCTATGGCTTTCTAGAGAGATTATCACACATTTCTATTCCACTTGAACTGCTCTGGCTGCCTCCTGTTGCATTCTGGGACTTGCAGTTGAGGGAGAGGCATTTAGAATATTCAGCCAGAGACTTCTTAGGCCTCACTGAATGAACTACAAGCCCCAAAATGCAACAGAAGGCAGACAGGGCCGTTAAAAGTGGAACAGCAACGCTTTAAGAGGGTAGCGCGATAACCTCCTAGGAAAGGTACTTTAGCGAGACATTTCGCCTTCTCTGTCAGAGAGCTCTGGTGCCACAGCAAACTACACTCCCCAGGACTCCACAGCACTGAGCTAGGGCAGTTATAGCGGTGTCAACCTGGATTATTTCTGCAGTGCGGAGGCAGCAAGGCTATGAATTCTTGTAAAGGTGCCCAAAACAAAACAAAGCCCGGTAAGGGCTTCTAGGCAAGACAAGAGGACCTCTGCGCATGCCCGAGAGTGCGGCCTTCAATATGCGCTGGCCGACGTGAAGCACAAGACTGTTTGCCTGTCAAGCGCGGCGGCGTCTCAGGGGCGGGACTTCCTGTTTCGTCGCTTAGACTGATTGAGAAACGGGAGCTGGGTATTAAAACGGCCTATCGAGAGAGAGTTTAAACTGGTTCTCCTCGCCTCCACACGCACCCTCTCTCGTCGGTCCTTACTGCCCTTGCCTGCTGTGGCTCCGTGACAGCCGTTTGTCCACGACGAGGAACCGGAGGAGGAAACAGCTGCTGTAGTCTGGCCCGGTTTAGAGGTCGCTCGATCGAGGGGGGGGGAAAGAAACCGCTGTTTCCTAGGCAACAGTAAAGCGTACGGCAAGCCTGAGAGGCCCATTCCAGCAGTCTCTCTGTTTCGCGTTCAGTGTTCTCTAACTAGGTTCCGCTTCAAGCCAGCTGTACATTATTGTCCTGCCTGCCAACAGTCGCGGAACCCCTGGTCCAAAACACACTGGAGAAATAATCCAGTTTGAGACCGCTTTAATTGCCCTTGCTCAATACTAGGAAATTCAGGGAACTGTAGTTTTGCATGAAATTTAGCCCTCTCTGTCAGAGAAAGCTCTGATGCCACAATAAACTACAATTCCCAGGATTCCCTCACATTGAGCCGGGGCAGTAGAAACGGTCTCGAACTGGATAATTTATCCAGTGTTTTGAACCAAAGATAGAAATGTGCGTCTAGTAAACAAGAAACTGCGTGGTCCAAGAGTAAAACCAAAAAGCAGAGTTGGGCAATACCTCTGTTGGAGCCTCAAAATATCATTTAAAAGAAATAGCCACACGTTTGAGGCTTTCAGAAGAATTTTTACCTAGCGTTTACTTTACAACACATTTGTTGTGTGTTTTGAAGTCATTTCCGACCGACCCCAAGGCGAACCTAATAGGGAGATTTTTTCACAGAGTGACTTTTGGCATTGCCTTCCTCTGAGGCTGAGAGAGTATAACTTGCCCTAAGTCTCCCAGTAGATTTACATGGCTGAGGCAGGATTCGAACCCTGGTTTCCAGAGTAGTAATCCAGAACAGAAACCACTACGCCACGCTGGTTCTGGGATTGTATTACAAAAAAGGCGACCAGAAGTCCTCACTGCAAAGGAGGGCAGGGAAACACAAAATGTAGGACAGTTAAGCAAAATGGAGGAGATAACCAAACAAAAGCTTTGAAATGCTCATATAAATATAAATTCATGCTTCTTAGTCCCACTCAAAATGGAGGACATTTGGGAATTCCTGGATAGGAGGTTGAATTGTAGGACATGTCCTGGAAAAGGAGAATGTCTGGTCACCCTGAGAAAGGTGGCAATGGCATTTTGCTGCTTGTACAGAGCATGGCCCCTTTTGCACCTCGCAGTTATAGCGCTTTGATGCCACTCTTAACCATGGTCCCATTCTGGGGAATCCTGGGGTTTGCAGTCCAGGCAGAGGCCCAGTTCTCTCTTTTCTTTGGTGTGCTTGTTTTGGAAGCACTGATACAAGGCAATTCAACTCACTGCCACTTGTTTTTAATGTACATCTTTTTAATGTAACCTCATTACTGTTCTCAGAGACTCACTGTTTTGCTGTCATCTGGGTTGAATGAATTAATGTTCTTTCTCAACCTGAGATCTTCTGGTGAGCAGTTAGTAGAACCATTTCTGTTCCCTTGATCTCCATATTTTGCTTCCTTTCTTTCTTTTTTTCTGCGAGTACCACCAGAGTCCTCCTTGGAGGTTTTCCTTTTCTTCTGTACATTGTCCATTTGTGATTTTTTTAAAAAAAAAAATTCTTCTGCCTAGTTAAAAAAAATTGGTCAAAGGGAAAACATACCGTACCTTCCTGGCTAGGCAGGAAACTGAAAAACTGACGTAAAGGGAGAAGAAACCAACAGATTAAACAAAAAAGAACTTCAGACTCCTGCATTATCTGCTGGCGCATGGGGAATAACCTAATAGTATGTGGCATGCTCCTCCATGCCATCCAGAGAATGGATTTCCTATTAGATGCTCCACAGTGATATCTGCTATTCCCTGATGCAACTATTGTGTATAATTGGATTGTTCAATAAAACCCCTGTGACAAATACCGTAGTCTTTGCCACTCTGAAAACAATCTGGTGGGAAAAATAAAACCCTGGAGTCATGTGTACTCTCCAAGTTTTTGTGACCCTTGAACCTTCTCTGGACTGCCACTTTTTCTCTGACAAAAAAAAAAATGTATATCCAAGATCCCTTCGATTGTGGCAATTTCTTTTAAAGAGGGCTCCCTGTACATTTTTTAAAAATGTTTAAGATTGTTCTTCAAATCAGAAGTGAACTTCTGGCCACTTCTGGATTACTGTTTTATGGTTCGGAGGGGCATTTTTGGTAGTCCATTGGCTCCCAGAAAATCCCAGGGACAGTAAATTGGCCCTGATTTTCTGCAGCTACCAACCCCAGACTAGATACACTATTGCTGAAGTTCTTAGTTTCCTTATATATGTATATTCTGAGTGCATGGTACATCTGAGTACATCTATGTGTCTGGAGAGTACACCTGGTAATACCAATATGTCAGTAGTTCTCAATCAATGGTACATATACTGCCAGTTCCACTCAGAAATAGTCTAGGTGGGATGAAGAATTGTATTAAGACAACATCAAAGCATATATGTGTGTGTGTGTGTGTATGTATATATATATATATATATATATATTTGTTTGTTTTCAGTCACAACAATAATGTGCATTACCAATAATAGCATTTTTTTAAAAAAAAATCTATTATATTTGTGTTTTATAATTATCATGGCAATACAATTTATGCTCAATAGTATTGTTACAATGTTCCACTACTAATGGAAATATATTTCTGTTTGTTTATTACCAAAAATGCTACTGCTACTGGAAATGATAAATATACAGCATTTTGTAAACATACAAATGTTCTTCCCAGAAAAAGTGAACTCCTTGTTGCTATCTTCATGGGTCGAGCTTCTTTGGTAGAGTAACTGATGGAACTCAAAGTAGGTCATGACCCACTGAGCTATGCTGCCCTCCTCACAACAAATAAGTGGTTGGGTACTGGGTATCTGTACTGGTGATAAGTATGTTCAAACATGAGAAGTTCTTTCTTCATATGAATCATATCAGTGAGGCAACTATTTTTAATATTAGAACATAAATCCTGTTGATTTCAGTTTCACTTACGTGCCTTTAGTAATTGGTTACACAGGAATGGACATGAAGTAATGTGCTTCTAATATGAAACAGCCCAGCTGTTGTGTTTTCCATGTCTAAATTAATCTTCTAAATCTGATTATTTACAAAAACTAGTAAGAAAGAGGTGGGGGAAAATTCTAGCAAACTATGCCAAAGAAAGAGCATCCAAATCTAATATTGTGACCACTAAATAGGAACAACATGTGGATTACTGTCTTCCAAGAATACATTTTTTTTAACATTGTGGGAAGACTTCATTCTAAAATAATGTCTAGTGGTTCTAACATATTTGTACTTGTCTGTCTTTGCCTTCTCTATGGTTAAGAAAAATGTTGTGCACTGCAAGATTTAACATGTCTACTAAGGCTGCATCTGCACTGCAGAAATAATCCAAGCTGACACCACACCATGGCAGTTTGTGGCCTATATCCCATACAGTGTTGGCTCTTATCTACAAAACCATTGGACTGTATTCAGTCCTTAATTTCCCAACAACAGTAAGCTTAAAATGGAATCTTCCCAAGGTAATCTGCGACTCTAGGCACAAAATCTAAAATTTCACATGCTCATTGATTATATGTATACACTTGCCAGTACATATGATAAAGGGCATGCAGTAACAAGGTACAGATTTGAGCAAGTGAGTAGGAACTTGAATGGTTTAAAACTGAAATGTACATAAAAAACCACATAAAAGAGAAATAGTATAGAGGTTAATGTGGAAACATTAAGTATTTTTGGTCTGCTCTGAAAAAGCTCAGCAAGTAGCTAACGATTACATTTAGCACTTAGTTTGTCACACAGACAGCAGGGCTGGAAAAATAATAATAGTGGGGACATTTATTTGATAAAATATGGGATACCATAACAGATAACCACAAAAATGTACTATTAGTTTAGGAGTTACTCATAATAACAAGCAATTATCAGAGCCACTATAACATAGTTCTCAGTTTCATATTGACCTTGAATCCAGTTGTCCCTTGCAACATCCCAGACCCATCTGCTGGCAATCTGAAGGAGAGAAAAACATTGACCCATCAGCAAATTGAAAACTTAAATCTGAAATGGAAACTAAAACTAACAAACAAAACAGATTTCA